ACTAAACTGTTTAGTCATACATCAATTAAGAATTATGTTTACAGCTCAACAATATATACATATTAGTGTGGTTAAGAAGGTCTGAACTTGTTTTGCTTCCAGAACCTTTATAATTAAAGTGAACTTAATTAACAATGCTGAGTTCTTACTTACTGGATCAAAGTTATGACTCCTAGATAAAATAATTTATAATGAAGCTCAACTCTATCTGATCATATTAACCTCATCTTTGAATCAGTCTCTAAAATGACTAAATGAATTCACTATAAATACTGAGTCTAAAAAAAAAAACTTTAACCATAGAAAATAAGCAATAAATGTAACACTCAATTATGTTATCATTCGCACAATTTCATGTAAGAAGTAAGATTCTAAATAGACTTGGTTAGCAAGAGAGAAATTCTTCAAAATAACTTAATCTTAACACCATACTTCTAATAAGACAAAAAAAAAAAAAAGCCCAGCAATTACAAGGAATAATAAAAATAATTCAGATTATTTTGTTCATTCTGATCTTTTCAACGCGGGAATGCCTATTAAATGATGGTGCCTAAAAAAAGGTGAGTTAGAAATGGAAATTTACATGAAATTACAGATCACCTTTCACTGAGACATATATATCTGTGTCTCCAATATGCAAAACTGACAGAAGCCAGGGCTCACAGAAAAGCTGTTCTTCGCCAGCTGTAGAGTTCCAAAAAACTACACAGTCAGAATGATAGCAAGTAAAAGTTAGTAAGACTGACACTGCTTTGTTTTCCAACCACTCATGTTTAGATTAGTGAAAGGTAGATATTTTTGTTCACATTTACAGTTGATGGCAGAGAATGAATTCAAACTGGGGAATTCCTAACCTACCAGTATCTTTTTTCCTCTTAGTCAGGAATTAGGGATGTTAAGATTACCCAGAAAGTCCCCGTGGAGATCTAATAACTGACTTTATTATATTGCTAAAATTGTTAGAATATACCTTAATCAAAATAGATAAAATATAAAGTTCAAAATTTTACATTAAAATTCCACCACTAAGAGGAAATCTAAATTGAGTAGTGAATACCACTAATGACAATGGTCTTGCACATGCTTCTCAAAAGTCCCCTAACATTCTGTGTCAAGTATTCGAACTGTGCTACAAACATAACTGTATTATTCTACAAAATCTTTGATTAAGCCCATTTCACAAACCAAACACTAAGGCTCATACCTGTCAGGGTCTCTGCCTACATTAGAAAGTTAAGAGTAAGAAGTAAGATTTATAACCCAGATCTACAGATACATCTAAATACTCCTGAATTTTCAGTCCACCTTGTATTTTTGGAAAACAGGTCCTTGAATCATGCCATTCATTCTAAGGCCCTTGTTAAAATTCTGAGGGGAAAAAAGCAATCCCAGCTGATATAGAATGAAATGGCATGATTCAAAAACCTCTTCTTTTTTTATGTCATTTTACTTAAAGTTGCAATTTCCAAGAAGAACCCCTCCTCATTTTATGGGAATTTACTCTGCTCAGATCTTTCCTCTCTACAAGATTGGCCTGTCCAGCCTTACACATTCCAAATCAAATGAATTTTGTCTTTTTTTCTCCTTTCATATTACCCAAGGTGAAACAATTACTAGCCACAACTTCCCACTAATACTCCTTAATTCAGGCAGTCATCAAAAGAAAGATCCCTCTGGTCTCTTGTCCCTTAAGAATTTAGAATAGAAACAAAGTAATTATTAGATAACAGAGCACATCCACTTTGCTCTCCTGATAAGTGAACACAAGCCTAGATACCCACCAAATGCACTAAAAACTTGAAGGCTTCAACAATCTGATCAAGCAATGAGAAATGCTGAGTGAACTCCTACTGCATAAACAAGCTAGCAATTATAATTACTCAATTTGTAAGTATACTCAATGATGTACACAAGATGTTAATAAAAATTACAGAAGACTACCTGGTATAAATCCTAATCTCACAAAGTTAATACAAGGTGAGTAAACAAAAACAGACAAAGTAAAGAATATAAGCAAGTTAAAACACATGCTGAGGAATTAATGGAAATACAAGATTAAAGTTGGTATGGGTCCTTAAATATCACTAAATCTAAAACAAATCAACCAGGTGAGTACCGCAGGGAAAGGTAATAGTAAGCAACATTACTAATAATTCCCACAATGATTCTATATTTGAGAACCGAAGCAGATGTCCTCCTTGCTCCCTCCTACTTTCAAACCTCTCTCTCATCAACGCAGAAACGTGGAAGCATTTACCTATCTTTAGGCAGTGCCCATTCTAAACTTTTATTTATTCTCTCTCCCACCATCCCCTTATTTAATCGTCTAGATCTTTGTGGAATGAACAGCATCCACACTTTTCCATATACTGCTTCTGCTCCACACAACCACTCTATGAAGTAGCCCTGTTTTAGAGATAAGAAGACCAAGTCTCAACCAAGTAACAGGAAACATGTCCAAAGTGATCTGATGAGTTTGAACCCTAGCCTGCTGACCAGTAAGTCAAGACGTGTTTCACTGTGACACAGTCTCTTACACATCTCTCAGTGTCACACATCACTTTGAAGTATTGTCTTACTCATCAGTTTACACATTTGTTTCCCTGGTTAGACACAGTAAGCTCCCCCAGGGCAGGCATCAAACCTGATTTTAACTTCAACATTTAAATTACTCATTACATATTTGTTGAGTGAAAGAAGCCAGCTCCTCAGAGTTGTTGTTATAACTATTTCTTGAATTCCTAGATAGAACTCTGTATACATTTCTTACCTAACAAATTTAATCTGTTTAATTTAATAAATGTTACTGATGGATTTTTTTAAAAAGAAACAATGTAGTTAAGCATTGTTTAAAACATACACACACTTAAACTTGCCCAGTCAGCAAAGGGGAAGAAAACTGTCCCAAAACATTAAAATATCATTCTTACTTAACTCCTTAGTAATGGGAGAAATCATACAGTCAAACTAATCTTTGCAATACTTTCATACCATAAGAGCAGGTAACTATAACTATGTGGAAAAACTGATTAATACTAGATAACGTGACAAAATTAAGCAGTGAATAGTAACAACCTATTTGGCAATCTACTTAGTTATTTTAACTAGTAAGCAACACAGAAATTTCTCTTCACAATATTCTTCTACATCTATCATTTTTTTGAAAACAATAAACACTTCAGGTAAGCATAAGGCAATTAGTAAAGTATTTGGGTTAAATTTAAAATTCTTCCTACCTGAAGTTAATGTATCTAATATGCAAAACATTGTATAACTAGTTCCTGATACAGATTAGTTATATAATGTAATAAAACAGTTTTAATTTTTTTCATCTCAGGTACCATAGCAATCAAAGTGCTGGATATTCTCCTTAAATTAAAATATACAAAAATTAATACTGCTTTAGGTTTATCAGTTTTTGATGAAAAAGAAAGCAATTATTCCTGTAATACCATTTTTAGAAACACTCAGTACCAAGAAAAAATCCCACATAAAACAATATAATGTAGTGGAAAGTACAAGGGATATAAGCACCAGGAGCCCTGGTTTCCTAATTCTGATCACATTACTAAATTGCTGAGTGACTTAAGGTTCACTGGCTTAGTTTTCTCATTTGTTTAAAAAAGTCCAGGGGTCAGGGAACTTGGTTATCTTTAAAGTTATTTCACAAATTCTGACTTTATGCCACTCCTCTTATTTCATTTCTCTAGTCAGTAAACTCTGAATAAGAATCGTTAAGGGCTAACTTCTGAAATATGAAACACATCTGAATTGAATGTAGGGATTCAATCTCCAACCAAGGCTGGGTTCCTACAGAGTTAACCATGCTGAAAGGTTCCAGAAATTGTCAGATCCTAATTTCTTAAACAAGCAGGTGTAGTAGAAATTGTCGGATCCTAATTTCTTAAGCAAGCAGGTGTAGTCGGGCTTCACAGGTTTAACACTGCCAGATGCAAAATGGTGCTGCACTGTTAAAATTTCTGCAGGTGTTTCCTGGGTTTTAGTGGCACATACTTTGCAGGTGCCAAGAAGCAAAGCAGGAAGGGACCCCAACTGCGTTCCAACTAACTCAGTCCACCCCAGCCACCGCAGAAAGATGCAGCCTGACAAGGCCTACACCAGAGCAGAACCTCCCCACCCCCAAACTGCCAGCAGCCAATGTAATGAATGCTTCCGTCAACAACACACAGTCCCCTTCCCACAGTAGAACTGCTCGCTCCCAACAGGCCATCTGGGAATGGAACAGGCCGCACAGAACCAACCTAAGAAGCATTTTCGGGCCAAAAAGGTTACTAAGAACTGCGCTTCCCCTGTGCAAGATTGTGGGAGAGCTGCACCTCCACCCATCAAGGAAAAAAAAATCAGTGGGGAGGAGTGTAGAAACCAGGCCTGAGCGAGACTACTGGAGAAATAAATCCTGTTCCCTGCAATGGGGAGCAGGGGCATTTCCTGCCTTCGTTCTGAACCAATGCATTCGACTTCATTCTCCCCTGAAATCCTAAAGAGATTAAAATCCACCTTCTGTTCGGCTTCATTCATATTTGGGCTTCATTCCCGCACCTACCCACTCCAGAAATCTCTAGCATTGTGAAGGAAGGTGCACCCCCAGATCAAGGGTCAGGAGGTGGTGCAGCGAGGGCCAGTTCAGGGACCCAGTTCCTAATATCCAGTAATTTCGTGCAAGAAGGCTATTTTCCCTGGTGGCCTCAGAGTAAAGTTTGAAAGAGCCAAGAGCACCCGGCCCAGCAGGATCCCGGGCTGGCCTGCGGAGGTGACACTTCCAGCTCCCCGCAGCTCCGGAGGCGGCGTCCGGCCGCCCCGGCCACCCAAGTCCGCACCCCGGGAGCGCCGCCAGGTCGCAGACCGGGGGCCAGGGCAGGGGGTTAGGCCTGGCCGGCAGCAGGACCCTCGCGCCTCCTTCCCCACTCCCACTTCCCCGCCCGGCTGCCCGGGCCCGCGAGATAACATCGGGGGTGGCGACGCAGGGCTGGGCCACTGACCACACATTTCTTGCCCAGGAAGGTGAAGAGGGACTCGTTCTCCTGCGGGGTGAGCAGCATGGACCCCACGTTGGTGACCCTCCGCTGCGGCGGCGGCTGCTGCTGGCCGGAGCTCATGGTTTCGCCGGCGGGGTGTGGAGTCCAGGGCCGTGTCCTGCGGCGAGTGGGCGAGCGCTCGTTCCCCTCTCGGTGACAGGGCGGGAGCAGGGAGTCAGAGGCGCAACATCTCGCAGCTCCGCCGGCGCGGGGCGGAGGAGGCCACGGGCAGGAGCAGCCGACAGCGGGCCGCCTTCGGGCCGCGCTGAGAAAAGGAAGCTCCCAGCTCCCGCCGGGCTGGGCTCGGGCCGGATGTCCTCGCACTCCGGCGACTGCGCTAAACTCCCAACTCCTCCTCCAACCCTCCTTCCGCGGCGGCTACGGCGGCGGCGGCGGCGGCCGCACAATCCAACATGGCAGCGGGGGCGGGCGAGACCACAGGACGCAGGGCGCGGGGGAGCGCGCCGGAAACGCG